GGGCCCACTTATCTGCCCATAAAAAATGTTCAAAGCTTATAAATTCCCTGAAACAGATGTACATTATCATTGGATTTGCCTTTCTTTTGCTAGAGCATGCCTAATAGCGTTTCGGCCGCCCCCTGGCCCCTGTACCCCGCCCCCGTTAGCATCTTGTCTCCGCGGAAGCCCGCTCCCCACTGGGCCAGGCCGACTTCAAAGGTCCCGCGCTGCCTGTGAGAAGCACTGCACAAAGTGGGAACATAGGGGCCTTTTAAATCCCCCACATTTAAGTCAATATCATGCCTCCCTGCTTTCCCCTCTCCCAGCAGAGGGACAGAAGTCAGCTGCTCCTGTTCTGTCTTCCGAACGCCAGTTCAGTGATTACCAGAGGGGAGATGGCGGCTTCTTCCTCCCTGGCTCTCCCTGTCCCTGCCCTCTCCTTCCCACTTTCCTTTCTGTTCCTTCACTGCTTGACAAGATGTCGTTCAGTAGCAGGAAAGGTAGTGCTGACCCCAGATCTTGGCAAATGAGTGGCTCCTGAAGGCTTGCATGGGGGTGGAGGTCATCAACAACTACTGGTTAAGCCCATCATATCCTACAATCAGAGCCCCCTTCCAAGTAGGTTCCCAATTCTTCTCTATGCTGGGGCCAGTGTCACGTCTTGCTGTCCCCTTGCTGACTTTTTGGCACCTTTCAGGGTGATGAGCCTCTGTACCTCCCGGCCATGCCTACCTGGGGCATCCTCCCTGCTGCCTGTGCTGATCTCCATCAGTTGATCCAAAGCCCACCCCCTGTCGCCACCCCAAGGCCTCTGCACAAGCTGCCCCCACTAGCTTCCATCTAGCCAACTCCTCAACCCTCTGTGTCAGTCTTGGAGAGCCTCCTTTCTGTCCCCCCCCCCAGTCCCAATTACATCTTCTCTGCCCCCTCTTGTGTCTCCCAGAAATCATCACAATGTATAACACTATCGCTTCTCTGTGACAGCTGTCACCCCCCTAGCCTGCAAGCACCACGGAAATACAGAGATGTACTTGGTGCTAGAGATCTTTGGGCTAGTGCTGAGCATAACTTCTGAACATAGTCCTGGATCACTAAACACCTGAGAGTGCAGCAGGACAAAGGTCCCTGGAGATAGGTGGTTGGGATGGGTGTGGGCCAGGGAAGGACCAGCAAGGCTGGTGCAGGCCCCCTCTGAGCAGTGAGTGCCAAACCCCGGCCATTTTTTGCTTTCCCCAAATCTTGCCTAAAGTTCCTTGTAACTGAAGGGGAATCATACCCCAGAGACTGCCTTACTACAATTTAACTGCATGGCAGGACGCTCCAATGTCAAATTCTCTCTTCAAAAAGAAAAAAGAAGGAAACAAAGGAGGGAGGAAGGAGGAGGAGGAGAGGGAGAGACAGAGGAAGGGAAGAAAAAAAGATCACAGTGAAATATTTTGGCCAGGTTCTGCACCAAATCACAATCAGATGCTGTTTTGCGACAGTCAGAGGAAGTGGAGTCGGGTGACCGTGGCTGAGATGGCCAGGGGCCCCGCTCCATCTGGAGAGGATCTGATCAGGGAACCCGAGCCACTCAAGGTCACCAGGGCCCCCCACCCAGTGCCGAGAGCCCAGGATTGCCCCTTTCTCTCACATCCCCCAGCCCCGGATGTCCTCAGTTCTCTGCCCACACAGATGGCTGCTGTGCCTGTCCGCTCCTGCACCCGAGTACCAGGATCCCATGGGAAGGAGACTCCGGTGCCAGTCTGTGTTTACAAACTCAGCCACCAAAGATGCCCTGTGTGTGACAGCAGGCCACATGCCGTGCCTGGCTGCGGGCCACGCGCGGGGAGCCAGGCGTGTGCAGACTGCAGCTGCTCAGCAGGCCTCTCGCAGGCAGCTCTCTTCACTGGGCCCTCGGTTGAACAAGGCAGTGCTTGGGGGAAACCAAATCATCAGAGGCAGCGACAGGGCTGCACCAGGATCCTCGTTATTCGTGAGGGCTGTGCTTGCAAATTCATCTGCTCGCTCCGATTTATCTGTAACTCTGAAATCAGTGTTTGCAGTGTCTCTGTGGTTGTTCATGGACCCATGCAGAGCAGCAGGAATTCTGAGTCGCTGGGCTGCACGTTCCCGGATGAGGTTGAACAAGGCCATGCTCAGCTTTCTTGTTCCAGCGCTCTTCTTGCTAACAAATGTCCTTTTCACGGTCTATTTAATGCCACTGGGCTTTGTGCTGGTGATTTCGCTGCCTCATGCGAAAGGGCCGTCTGGTATCCCCAAGCACAGGAGGCCATGATGTGCCTGATGGAGAAACTATGCCGGCTCCATATGCTTCACTCAGGCTTATGGGATAACACTGTCGGTCAGGTTCAGTGTGAAAAGAACAATATCCGTTGACTAAGGTGACTTTACACAGTAGCATGCCAAACAGGAATCTGCATCAATTGGCTAATGACCAGAGGCTGACATGAATGTCACCGCAAATCTCCCTCAGGAGCAAGGGTTTGGTGTTTGCTAATAAACTGTGTTCAAGGTGAATTTAGGGACCATAACCACGGAGGTGGATAAGCGCAGATGTAGCCACAAGCGTGGTCAGCACCAGGAGCGCTGGGGACCACCAGGCACCATGAGAGCCTGGGCCTTGGCCAGGCCAGCACCTCTATCTCCTGGTCCTCTGCTCCTTCATGTTGTCCTGGACTTGGTGGCCCAGGGAACAAGACTAGCTTTGGTTGGTCTTTGTCAATGCCCATTAGTTCCTTGGAAGCTGGAGTCAGTGGCTAATGGCTTGTCCCTGGGAGAGGCATCATACTTTGTGTTTCGTCCTACATACATGAACTAAGGGTTTGGTAACTGCTTGTCTGGACTGTAATTCAGCTTCCTCATTGGTCTCCTCACAGAGCTGTTCGAGGATATCATGAACACTGGTTGAGCACACAGTAGGTGCTCTGTAAGTGGGGGATTCAGTGATTTAGACCTCAGCAATCCTGGGGCTCAGGCTTGGGCCAGGGTCCTTCAGGGTAAGGATAATCCCAAAAGAGAAGTGGCCAAAGATGTTTCCAGGGGCCTCCCCTCATCCAGAGGAGGAAGCTCCAGGCTGTGGTCCCTACCACTGCTCTGCCTCTTCCAGGCTCAGAGCAGTCACTCAGCAGGACAGACTCAGAGTTGGGGAAGGTCTTATGCAAATGCAGGATTGAGGGCCTAGAAGAGGACAGTAGCTTGCCAAGCCCACAGTTCCAATCTAGTCTAGAAAGGAAGTGACCCACAGAGAGTGGGCAAGAAGAGCAACAGGCAAGGTAGCATGGCCCTGAGCATGTAGTTGAGAGGGCATGAGGGACAGCAGCCTCACAGGGGCTCTGAAGCTGGGTGCGGCAGGGCGCTCTCCATCCCTGGGGAGAACATCTCCTTTCCCAAATCCCTGGGGGCCACAATCCCCCAACAGCAGCGGTCATTGACAGTCTACTAAGCTCTGGGCTATGTGCTGAGTGAGCTCCGTGAGGTGGCTACTCTGCCTAGCTGTTACAGGAGGGGAGACAAGGCTCAGAGAAGTCGGGCCCTGTATCTAATGCCACACCGCTGGTGAACAGCAGAACTTGGACCCAAAGTCCCTGCTGTCAACCACGGGCCATTCCATGCACTCTAATTGCGCCCTGAGCCTGCACACAATGGTCTGGCTCCCGGACCCTTCCATCTTATGTGCAAGGCGTCTGGTCCAGAGAATTCACAGCCATCCTCCCTTGTCTGCAGGAGCTGCCGAGGGTGGATGGTGCAGTGCTGGGCACCCTGCTGTCCACCTGAACACCTCCCGATGGGCAGCCGTCCTGCTCCCTACTCCAAGAGGGCGGTGCCAGGGCCTTCCATTCAGGGCTCCAAGCGTAAGCCTCTCCTCTCACGTTTCCTGCCTCGCTGAGGCCACACAGGCTTCCTTGGCCCACTTCACAGAGAAGCAAACAGCTGAGAGGTGAGGCCATGGCACAGCCAGAGGGAGCCAGTGAGTCTTTGGGACTGGAGCTGTCCACCCACTTGGGTGCTTCTTGGGGTGTGGGGCAGGAGAAAGGGGGCCATACCGTGAGTGAAAGGCTCTGAGCCACCCGCAGAGGCCTCCTTTGGAAGGCTTCCGATGCTGGCCACAGCCTTAGCCCATCTCTTCTCTGTTTCCCTTTAACAGAAGGTTTTTAACAGGCACAGCCCCCCTGAGGTGAGGGAGGCCACAGTCCTGGGGCACAGGTGGAAGGGGTGTGTGCCACCCAAAGGGGTGGGCACTTCTTGGCTCCTGCAGGTGGCTGTTATGTGGAAGTGTGAGCCTCCTCAGAAAACGTGGGCTCATTTTCTCTTTTTATATGAAAAGCCTCAAACCTAGAGTTTTAGGTGAAACCTCCAGATTTTGGAAATTCATTCAGAATGACTGAAACCACAATGGGTGAAACATCACCCAGTGGGCAGTTCTAGGGAGGGCGCTGACGCTCAGAGGGATGATTCCAACAGGCAGCCAGGCATCGGCGGGAGTGGGAAAGGACAGGAGGGGCAGTGCCAGGCCCACAGCTTCTCAGGGGCTGCAGCTCAGGGCAGGACTTGCCTGGTGCCGTGCACCCCCGGACTGGCACGACAGTGGCATCCAAGGACGCTCCCTCCCCACATGGTCTTTGGCGGGCAGCAGAGGCCTGTGAGCTGGTCTGGGCTCAGCTTTGGGGCAAGTGTCCATCTGCCCCCCCCTCCCCCCCGCCGCCTGCAGTCTTAGTTCTCTCTCTACAATGGGAAGAATTCTTGCCCCACCACAAGAAGTTGCTCAAAAGCACAATGAACATTTGATCAAAGTTTTCATTGGTTTCCGGGCAAAAAAAAAAAAAAAAAAAGAAAACACAATGAAGATATTTTCCTTTTAAATAAAGCTAAATTATGGTTCCTTTTATTTAGTATTTATTGTTTTATTTATTTAGTATTTTATTTATTTATTTAGGTACTGGGGATTGAACTCAGGACCTTGTACTTGCCAGGCAAGCACTTATCTGAGCTATCTTCCTGGCCCTTAATTTTTTTTTAAACCAAATCTCTAAATAATACAAGACTACAGGATTTTTCCCTTCTGTTCTTTTTTTCTTTTCTTCTTCCTTTTTTTTTTTTTTTTTTTTTTTGTTAACACCCTTATTTACCAAAATTAAAACTTGGCAACGTGTTCCTTTCCCAAACTTTTATCTGAAATGCTCCTGCTTTGGAAAGCCCCAACGTCAAGGGCACACAGGCTGGAGGATGCCATGCACGGTCAGGGGCGTAAGCTCTTCCAGCCTCTCCCTCCTACCTTGCTTCCAATTATTAATCACCTACTATGTGCCCATGTTCTAAGGAAACAGCACTGCCTCAGAAGAAGGCCCTGCCCACAGGGAGCTAGCAGAACGGGCGAAGGCAATGCCAGAGCCAGGGATCCGATCCTCGTGCCGCCTGCGCCCCTCTGACTGGGCACCAGCTAGGGCAGCTCTGGGAAGCAAGGCCTCATTAGGGAAGGAAAAGCAAGGTTGGAGGCATCCAGAATGCTGCCATCGGAAATGCCTGGGAAAGTGCTGCTCTGGTGGCACACGTGGAGGTCAGAGTTCAGGTGGGGGAGGACTAGTTCTCTCCACACTTGGGGGACATGAAGGCTTGGTCCTTTTCTGCTTGTCACCTCGAGGTCTGAATGACAGCCAGGGTGCCCTTGGCCTTCTCCCCAGGCTTGCTCTGGGTCCCCGGCAATTCTTCAAAGAACCTTGTACCTTAGTCCTTCTCCTAAGACCCTGACTCCCACCTCCCACCTTAGTCCTCTCCTAAGACTCTTCTTCCCACCCATAGGGAGCTGAAGAAGGGCCCTCACAGCTGACTCCACAGCAGCCCTTCCCCATGGCAGGGCAGGACTCCTCGAGCTTGGAGCCGAGCTGGCTCTGCGGCCAGGCAGCACCACGGGCGGCTGCTCTCAGCCCACTTCCCAAGGCTGCCGTGGCCCATGGCATGAAGAAACACGTGCAGCTTGGACAGGGAGGTTTTCAAGAGTTTTCTCCAATCTCCCAAGTGCAGGTCTTGATCTTCGGGGCTCACTCAGCCACCCGAGCTGGAAGACAGCGGGTGTCAGCAGCTCTGGCTCTCTTGGGGAGCTATGGCTTTAGGATAATGGAGGACACGTGTTATAGAATCCTCCAGTCTTGTCCCCTGGGAGTCATGGCCACTTCCTCCACCATCCAGGAGGTATCTGGATTCCCAGGAGGGGCAGGGTCTGCCTCCCGTACGTACGTCACTGCTCATCCACCCTGCTTGTGCCAAGTGCAGACCATGTGTGGTCTTCAGGCTCTACTGCAGCAGCGCCCTTCCCTGCACACTACCCGGCTCTGCCTACCTCTACCTCTGCCCACAGGCTGGCCTGGGCCAAAGCCTTGCCCAGAGGTCACAGACACAGTAGGGATCCTCTTATCTCTGCCAGGGTCATGGGTTAATAGTGCCAGGATTGTTCTGTATGGGAGAAGGTGGGGAAGAGCCCTGCTTACACAGCTAGCTAGCGAGCTGGGATGGGCGCCAAGGCCAGGCTCTCCAGTGCTAAGGGGGCTCATGCTCATACCCCTCTACTTGCCGGAGTATATGCAGGGTCTAGGAATACCTCCATTGTCAGGAAAGTCACTCAGAGGTGACAGCCCTGAGAAGAGGGCTTAGGTTCAAAGATCTGCTGCTGTGGGAGATGATAGGATGAAGAACCAGGCCAAATCCCCAAAAGGCCGTGAATATGGGACGTGATGAAGTTTGATGTCTTGGAATGGGGCCCCAGACATGATTTTTCAGAGCCAACAAAGCTGGTGGCTGAACCACCTGTGCTCATTCTGTAAAACCCAGCCCTGCACATGCCCGGGGAGCAGAGGCAGGGCAGGAGGGCTACATGTGGCTGGATGGACAGCAAGCTGCCCTGCAGCTGGGTGGGGGGGCACACAATCCCCAGCATCTGCTGCTGCATGGTCGGCAGCCCCATCTTCCAGGAGGAGCTGAGAGTGTCGGGTAGGTGTTCTCAGCCTGCTGGCTCTGAGTGCATTTCAGGGTCCCAGATGGGCCTCACAGCAGCCAGGTGATTAATGTGGCTCTGACAGACCGAGTGTTGAGGTGCAGGTGGTCCCATCCTCCTCCTACCTCTGAGACCAACTTCCCTCTGGCCTGGTAATCATTTAGGATCTGACTGTTGAGCAAAGGAGTGAATGCCCACCAGCCCCCCTGCACCCCCACAAAAAGCAAAAACCCTTGTCTTGACTGCTTGCTCTGCTGTAAAGTATAACTGGCACATTACATGCAAGCCCTGCTCCCTGATTCCCTGGGAGGAAAGCTGGCCCTGGCTGCTGGGGGTCTCCTTAAGCACACCGTGTCCTCAGCACCTCGTGATGCATCAACAAAGCAGGGCCATCCTGCAGCCGTCAGCAATGCCGTGTGCATGCGTGCCTGAGGCAGCCAAGTCCTCCTGCAGGCCGCAGAGGCTCCTGTGCTGAGTTCAGGGTTCAGAAGCGCCACCTGTTCTAGGCAGTGGGGGTCAGCATGGCAAACACGACCACTCTTCCCATGCACAGTGGCCCACGGAGCACAGGCGCAGAGCTCACGTGGCTCCCCCTCCTCGCTTGCTTTCCCTCCCCTCCTGGCCCTTCCTCCCTTTTCTCCCTTCCTTCCTTCTTCTTTCCTATGCCTTCAATTTCTAATTATGTCATACAATCACTTCCAGAGGTCACTCACAGTAGCACCAAAATGGCAATCACACTGGCTCTTGAACTCGGCCGCTGTGCTGACCCTTCTGTCACCGGTGCTCGTAGATCCTGAGGCAAGGCCTAACAAGGGCCCTCAAATACAGTGTGGCTGTCAGAGCCCAGGATGAGAGATGACTCAGAGGCCTGCAGAGGGGACAGTGCCTCTAAGCAAGAGAAGGTGGACAGCTGTTGGGAGAAGAGGCCAGAGCTCAATGACCGAGGGGGACGATCTCCAGATATATTAGGTTGCAGAGAAAAAGGGCACAAGTATGACTACTATGCTGTTCCTGAGTAAAAATAAAAGGGTGGGGTGTGAAGGGGATTAAGTAGTTACTATAGGGATTTCTTTCTTAAAAATAGATCTAAAATTAATGCCGCAAAACACTAGCATTTGTGAATTCTAGGTGGTATGTTCAGTTACTATTATACAATTTTCTGTTTCAAATTCTGTGTTTGGAATGTTTTAAAATTATAAAACTTATACGGGGGGATATTTTACCTAAGTGCTATTATTTAGTAACAAAGGACAGCTAACACTTCGATAGTGCTTGCCAAGGGGAAACTGAGGCACAGCAATGGACAGGGCACCAGGCCTGGAAGCCAGGCATCAGTGACTGTGTGCCCAGCCAGCACACCTACCATGCCCAGGAGGCCCCAGGAAGCCAGCAGCGGACACTTGTGGGCTGGGACAGAAGTGAGTTCACTTTTACTGGGCAGTTTTCACACTACTTGAATCTCTCACTTGTATCCATTACTACTTAATAAATGATTTTTAGAAATGGGAGACACCCCAGTGACCAGCAATAACAGAATCGGGACAGGTGTGGGGCAGGAGGAAGCAACCTCTCAAAGCCTGGCTTCCCTGACACCCACAGGCCCAGCGCCACGGCCGGGTTCCACTGCTGCAGTCACTCTGGACTAGGAACTAGTAAGTCCTGTCTGCTCAGCACCCATATCCTGGGGTTGCCTCCAGTGGCCATGTGAGCCCAGACAGGCCACGGTGACAGGACCAGGGACGGTACAAGCCTATCCTTGTCTTTGCTGGGCCTTTCTGTAGTGGAAGAGCCTTTCCTTCCAGTGTGAGACTCAGAATGCCACAGCCAGGGCCTCTGATGCAGTGAGTCCACAGGGAAAGATAAAACCAAGTCCCAGCATACTCCACACCTGGATCCTGTCCTCTAAAGCCAGCTCCCTCCTTCGCTGCTGTGGTTACATTTACCTCACTTGAGGTGGATCCTGACTGCAGAGACCCAAACCCAGTGGTTACGACCTACCCAGCAGTGAAGGGATCCCACGGGAGACCAGAATCCCAGCATGGCTAACTCCTGTGTGGTCTCAAGAGCAGGCCTCAGCCTCTCTGCGCTATAGATGCATGCCCTGGGCTTGCACCTCCTGCCTTGTAGGGATGTCCTGAGGACTGTACTGATTAGCTCACAGAAGATGGTAACCACTCACACCTGCTACCTTCAAAAATAACTGCTTGCTAACTACATTAATCTAACTTAGGGGTCCCAGTCAGGGGACAGAGCAGCAGAAAAGAGAGCAGCTGAGGTCCAGGTTCACTGTCTGCTCTCAAGACCCTCGTGGCCAAGCTTCCTGGCCCCTGGCTCCCCAGTGTCATGAGCCAATGCTGTCTCACCAGGACTGAGTGAAGGGTCTGGATGTTTGTTGCCCTGGAAGGTCCCTAAAGCAGGCTGCATCCTTAGAGTGAAGATCATAGATCCTTCAGGGTTCCCCACATCCACCACTATCTGGAAGATGACTTGCCTCAGGCCCAGGAGTGGGAGGAGCCCATCACAGTGCCAGCCCTGAGATTCTGCAGTCACTTTGGCTATAACCTCTTTATTTAACTCTCCTCCAATTACCCAATTTGAGTATGGAATCTGTTTACAGAGAAACCACACTGGTAGACAGTAGCCTTTTTCCCGGCCTCCTCGGGTCCTGGCCATGTGAAGCCCTACTCTACAGAGGATGGTTCCTTGGGATCCCAACTCTGCCTGCTGTCCCTACTGCCCTCTGAGCTTCTGCACCTTGGCAGATCTCTCCAAAATCTGCAGGCTCCAAGCCCTAAGAAAGGTCCTGTGAGGACAGGCAAGTGGCTATTTGTATCTGATGGACACCAGCCCCGCCAACAAGCACCTGTGCTCAGGAAACATTCAGAGAAGCAGAACACTGGCCCTGCACATCAGCAGAGATACGTGACAGTGTATTTGTGAAAAGGTACAGAGACAGGCAGCTGCATCTACCTAGAGCACAGAAAGCTGTCAAAACCATATAGGTATATATTTGCTAATGTTGCAACACCGTGTTTCCACATGCTCTGTCCCAATGAACACCACACGACTGCTCGAGCTCGGAAAACCTGAATGTTTACGTAGTTGGTTTTTCCTGGCAGTTTCCAAAATGAGGATGGTTATAGGGACAGTCCTTGACTATGTGCTCATCTTTGAAAGAAGAGAGGAGAGGGGGAAGAAGGAGGAGGAGGAAGAGGAGGAGGAGTGTATTTTTGTGTTGCACATGGCAAAAAGAGGCTGGTTTGAGGCAAGAGCGTGATCCCACTGGAAAGGCATGAAAGGTGATTCCAGAAAGGACAGCTAAGGTTCCGAGTTGGGGACATAAAAACAACAGCAAGGAGGTTGTACATCTGCAGTCCACTGAAATCCCTGGGAGCACAATGCAATCAGTTAAGGGCAAAACTGAATCGGAGTAACTAAGAGGTAGCAGCTGTTGGTCTTATTGGAGATTTTGAGGGCCTTGAAGCTGGGCGGGGAAAGGGGTTCTCCTGTAAAGGCCAGAGGGCAGGGTCGGGGCTGAGGGCTCCTGTGGCTGTAGTCCCAACCCAGAGTCAGTTCTCAGGGAAGTTACATAGTCCCCATGACATATAAATTAAAGTTTAGTTCTGTGTTTCCATATATCTTCTACATGAAGGCTAGCTAAATATTAGTGGAGTAACAATAATTATTAATAACAATAATCATCATAATAACAATAATTAATAGAATAATAATGCCTTGGGGCATCGGGGCAGGTCCTTCATATGGCAAAAGGCCCTGGGGAGGCTCTAGGTCTGGTAGAAGTGGTGGTAATGGTGGTGATGTTCGTGGTGGTGGTGGTGCTCGTGTCTCTGGACCGCCTGCCCGGCCTGGCTCTCGTACACCACCACGGCGGGCAGCTCCCTCACCTGCTCCCGTCCCAAGACGGTGCTCCCAGGGGCCAGTGGTGCCTGCAGGCCCCGGCATCCCGGCTGGTTCTCCTTGGCTCGGTGCTTGTGCTTCTTGTGCCCGAGGGGTGCCAGGCTGGGGAGAAGGGCAGGGCTGCCAGCCAGGTGGGCAGAGGATGGCACAGCAGGAATAGCAGGTGCCAGAGGGGGTTTGCTTCTGGCCCCTCTGGACACGTGGCTCACACCCATGCTCTTGCCCTGGGCCTTGGGGGACCTCACAAAGTGCTTGCTCCCGTCCTGGGCGCCTCGGAGCCGCTGCTGGAGCTCTGAGACCTTGGCGAATGGAGTGTCAAGGAAGTGGAAGGAGCCTGGGTCTGCACCTTGGGGCTTCCGGTGTGCAATGTGGATGGCTTCCGGCTCATGGGAGCGAGATCTTGTGGGGTTGGAGGTGCGGGGGGGCAGTTCTGACTTCTGGGCCACTGAAGGGGAGCCTAGGAACCAAGTCGACAGGCATTTAATGAGCACCTTCTGTGTGCTGGGGTCGGACCCAGGAGCCACCCTGCCCCCAGTCTGGTAACTCCAGCAGCTCTTCGTCAGAGCCATGTCCCAATGTGACTGTCCATTGCTGCTGTGGAGGAAAGCTCTCTGGGATGGGCCTTCGCTGTCTGCTAACAGGAAGAAAGGTCGGTAGGTCTTCAAGAATGATTCTCTGAGAGAGCTAAGACAGACAGACACTGGCAGACACACTGACACCTAAGGCCTGTGGGCAAGAGGAACTCTATGATGCAGAGACAGGAGGGGATGGAGCAGGGGAAGTGAGGTTGAGCAAGGGCCATGGACAGGGCAGGCAAGGAACATCCCCTGGAGGCGACAGCTGTTTGAGGTCAGAGTGGCCACCTTGGGAACAGAACTGGGGGTGGGGGTCAGGAGGGGTGGGGAGTTGCTAGTTTTTATTATATCCCACACCCTTGAATACTATTCAATTTTGTTCCATATTGTACATATATTAGTATAATTTTGAAAATGTTTTAAAATGTCACCTCCTCCAAGTAGTCTCTAACCTACTCAATAAAAGTCACACCTCTGCCCAGCCCAGGGAAGGTCACCATGCTGGGCAGTCAGTCCAGCCTATCTGCCCAGCCCTCCCAGCCGACCCCAGGTGGAGTCCCTTACCAGGCCCAAACTGGGATGTGTAGTTTTCTATCCCCGCAAGGTCTAAGTAGTGGTTTCTCCTCTCGATGTTCTCATCCACACAGTGATGGTAGCAGCCAGACTGCTCCAGGCGGCTGTCACCCTGGAACCTGTGGTGGGGAAGGCAAGTGAGCAGAGCAGGCCGGGCTACCAAGCAGGGGCACCTGCAGGCTGCTGGGATGCCACCAGGACAAAGACAGGACCTCCATTCCTTTCTAGATCCTGGGAGGGCCGTGGAGGAATAAGCATCTCTTCAGTCCATGCCTCCCCACCCCCACCAAGACACAGCCCACTGCCTGGCCTCCCTGGCACTTGTGAGGGGACTGAATAAGAACCTTACTCTGAACAGCCCCAAAGCAAAGATGACGATTTACTGGTCAATATGAAAGGCTGTTGCAAACCAGGCTTCAAACCACACATACCCGCCACACGCAGATGGCCTAGCTCTGGCCTAACTCTCCAGGGAGGGCAGGCAGCAGAAACCATAAACAGCTGGAAGGGAGGCTGGCATGCTCTATGACATTCCCCAAAGCCCAGGACAGGACCTTCCTCTGTGTGTGTGTGGGGGGGGTGCGTGCATGCATGCGCACATGTGCATACATGCATGGTGGAGCCTGGGAGAAAAGCAGGGGCCTTCTTTCTCTTCTGAACAATTCAGGATTCCCTTACTCACTTCAATAACATCTGTGGTCTGTGCCACGTCCCTTCTATACACCTCAGCACTGCGCCAGTCTTCAGCAGGACTGGAGACCTCTGCCCACCCACACTGAGCTCTGTCCCTGCAAATCCAGTGGGTTTCTCCCTGCTTTTTCACTGGGTGGGAACACAGCCCCAAACTTGCCACACTGTGTTCCCGAATTTCTCAGCCTTTGCCCTTTAAATAGGCCTTCTCTGCCCCTCGCAGGTAAAGTGATAACAGGTAGTAGGTACCTCACAAGCTCTTACCACAACTCTGAAACTCCATAGCTCTTACCACAAGCCTGAAAACAAAGGATCTGGGTAACTGCTGGGTAGCCAAGCCACCCCTAGAAGACAGGGGATGTCTAGGGCAGTGATGGCAAACCTCTGAGAGATGAGTGCCCAAATTGTAATCCTAACATTGCAATTAAACTTGAAGACTGAAGCTGTAGTTTAGAAAAAACAACTCATACATTAACATCTTCTGTCTTAAGAAAAAATAACATGGGTCCCACTGGACCAAGCTCTGTCTCACTGGACGAATATACATATATCCCCAGCAGAAACACCCCATGGTGGTCTCTGGGCACTGCCCGAAACCCCTTGTAAGGTAGGATAAGCACACCATGATCACCCAGCAAACAAATCCAGATCACAGCCAGTCGATGGAATGGGAACCTACAAGGGCTATTTTTTTTTAATTGTTTGATTTGTGAATCTGTGCATCTGACATCACTGAGGAGATCCCAGGTGGCACTGCCTGCTCAGCATCCTTTAGAAGCAAGGGCAGGGCTAGCGCTCAGCACGTGCTCACAGGCACTAGGCTGCGCCCTCCCGTGCCCACCATACCTGAGGGGGGCTCGCTGCTTCTTCTCCCAGCTTCGAAGCTCCTCAGCAGGCTTGGTCTCTGCTCTGGGCCTCATACTCTGCAAGTCTGAGCTCCGCGCAACAAGCACAAGAAGTACTGGTGAGCCGCCTGCTCCCACCAACTTGTTAGCCCACCCCCCTTCAAGCTGGCCTTCAAGATCCCACATCTCCAAAACACAAGAGTGCACCATGGCTGCTGGCCACACCTGCACCCACCTCCCTGCCTGTGCTGGCCTGCCCTACTTCTCCGAGGACCTTCTGAAGTCCTGGGACACAAGGCAGCTGCCCACAGAAGCCCTAGGGCCCACCGACCTCCCAGGCAGGCTTTGGCCCTTCCTGAGACAGGGACACAGGGTGGGAGGGACACCAGCTAGAGCCCGCAGTCCTCACCAGCCTGGTTGAGAAGGGCGCTCCTCTTGCTCTGGCTCCCATCTGGGGCCACAGTGAGCTTGACCCGCAGCGTTTTGCTTGATGTTGGGGAGTGGTTCACGGAGGAGTCGACCACCTCATAGATGGTGTGCAGCAAGCTGGTGATGTCCTGCACAGGGGCCGAGGAGGAAGCCCACCCCAAGTGTCAGCCACAGGGTCTGACCAGTGCTCCATTCAGATGGGCTGCAGCCCTGTCTGCCCTAGAGGAGAGCTTACAGACAAAGCCTTGGACAGAGGAGTTTATTTGGGAGGAGATCTTAGGAAGCAGGGGTGAGGAAGCAGGGCAGAAAAGAGGAAAAAAAACTCAAGAGAGCAGGATACAGCATCACTGGGACTCTCTGAAGGCCACCTCAGCAGCCTCAGCAGATGTGGAGGGCTTACAGGTCAGCCCATCCTTCACTAGCAGAGAGGAGTGCGGGAACACTACACCCCTGTACTGTCAGGGCCTGCGCCAGCTCCCCAATGGAAAGGGCTTATGTGGGTCACTGCCCATCATGGCAATAGGCGGACCCAGCGAGAGACCTACAGATGTGGGGAGCAGGCCAGCAGGTCTAGCGAGCACCTCCTGAGTGTGACCTGGAGAAGCAGGTGTGCCTCTGCTGCAGCTGGAAATGCACCCCTTCCCAAATGCTTCTGCTGAGGTCCTGAGGCTGGAGGGAGGAGGAGACTAAGGCTAAAAGAGTCACAGAGGTGGGCCTTCAGCTCACAGGCGGGGGGCCTGATAAAAAGGAAGACACACCACAGCTGCCTCTCTCCACAAGACACCAGAGAAGGCAACCGTCTGCCAGTGAGGAAGAGAGCCCTTGCCAGGAGCCGCGTGTGCAGCTCTGTCCACCTTAGCCGCCAGCCTTCAGAGCCCCGAGAAGAACTCCGCTGTCTTCATTCGCAAGATAAGACAAGTGAGAACCCAGTTGCATTTCATCTGTGCTGGGTCCTCGGTGACCCGTACACCAGAGCAGGGGTCTGCGGCTCTTCCCTCTGAGGTGTCTCTGTCTTTTGACTGGGAATACAGGACCTGACAGTAGGCCTCGTTTGGTTCCAAGAATCTGTTCAGGTCACAGGGGCAGCTTCCCAGTTTAAGGGACACTGAAAATTCTAGAAAACATTTTCTTTCTCTCCACCAGGTCCGTGGATGGCTTTTGGCAATTCTTCCTGGGCTCAGACTCAGCCTTTATGTCAAGGAGCTAAGGGAGCAGAGGGGACCCCGGTGCTGCCATGGCTAGGCAGGCATGGAGGGTGCCAGGCACCTGCTGGCCATACAGCGCAGCTGATTGTCCTCTGACTGCAGGCTGAGGGTCAGCTCAGAGGCCAGAAATTCAGAATTTGCTATGAAGTCTTCAGAATCACTGATATTGACATCTAATTTAAATCTTAACAAAACCCCCAGGGTATCAGACCAGAATACTTGGGGCCAGATTGGATTGTGGGGGCCACCAGTTTGAAACTCAGGCTCCAGTCACTCGTCCCTCCTGGCTTGACTGTCCCTGCTCTTCTGGTGCGGCCCAGACTTCTCTTTCCCGCCTTTCCTTCCCTGGAGCTCTGCACAGCCACGCTGCCCACTCTCCCCATCCTGGAAGCCCAGGAAGGAAATGACATTAGACAGATGGACCACTGGGGTCCACCAACAGCATCCCCCAAGGGTCACATACCTCAGAAGGACCTGCTCTGTGATCTCAGCAGGCCTTGGCCCATTCAGGACCAAAGGACAAGCATGCTCTGGCAATTCCTGCATGAAAACCAACCCCACTGACTGCAGAGGGCCAGGCCCATGGGAGCGTCTTGAACATTTCCACAAAGGTCCAGGTGGCAAAGACTTGGTCCCAGAGTGGTACTGCTGGATGGTGGTAGAACCCTGAAGAGGGATGCCATGGGAGGTCTTCAGGTCACTGGGGGCCATGATCCAAAGGGTCCTATGGGACCCTAGTCTCCTCTCTCTTTTTCACTTCCAGGCCATTAGGTTAACAGTTCTGTTGGCCACACGTTCCCACTGTGTTGCATTGCTTTACCACGAGGCCAAACCAAACTGTGCGCCACAGTAAATTTCCATTTATAAACTGTCTATCTCGGGTATTGATTAGGGAACAGAAAGTGAACACAGGAGTCCAGAAGTACTTCCTGTACCAGTGAGCCCTTCAAGGATGAGCTCAGTTAGACATAGCCCAGACACCAGCCCCAGCTGCTGATGCAGTAAGGTGGGACCCTACCTGTCCTGGCACACGGCACTGCCTGCTCACAGCCAGGAAAGATGCGGGGAGCAATATTTATAGCCAGACTTGAGAAGTGGGTGAGGGGCTAAAAGCAGACCAGAGGATCCATGGGCTGGATCTTTCAGGATTCCACCTCACTTTCTGGCCCTTTATAAGAGGAAAATACAATGCAGACAGTACTCGCTCCTGGGCCAGGCTGGGCCACCTCCCTTTGAAAGCCTGCCTTCCTTGCCCTCATCACCAGGGCAATTAAGGAGGATGCAGGGTACCAAATTCACAACCACCATCTGTCCACAGGTCTCGGCAAGGTCTCTGTGGTGGGGTCATACACATGTGAGGCGCCTCAGCATCTTGGACCCAGGAAGGCATGAAGATGGCAGCAATGAGAAGCTGAGTCATTGTCACCACTGTACATGGCACAAGGAACAAAGATGCCACCATGTCCTGAGAAGCAGGACGGTGAGATTTGGTTGCAGGTGCTAAGTTGACCTTCTGAGAGTGGCGAGTTGGTGGGAGCATGAGACACAGGTTAAAACCAGCAGCAGTCACCTTGCCACTGCCAAGGGGGAGGCTGTCTGATGAAAAGGGATGGAAACCAGAGCCGTGAGGACACCAAGCCTCTGGACCCAGCCACACCAGACAGTGCCCCGGACTGAGGTTCAGGTACACGCACCAGTCTGTTCCTTTCTGTCCTTGTTACAGCAGCTGAACTGGGGTTCTGTCACTTACATGGAAGAACCCCAAGTGCTTACCAGTTGCAGCTTCCCCCTCTGACCTGTCCTAAGGCCTCCTAAGCCACAGCCTAAGGAGAAGTTGGTCTTGCTAACCTGGGTCTCCACTCTGCCAGTGTAAAGACAACAGCCTGCACTAACCACAGAGAGGTGATGCTGGCCCTGGCCTGGGGTAGAGACAAGAGCAAAGCTCCAAGGTCTCTGGGATACCTGGAGGTCCAAAAGCAGGACAACGGCGCAAGTCACGGGTGGGGCCAGGAGCGACAAGCACTGATTCCATGAAGGTGCACGGAGCTCCAGATCTGTAGCAGGCCTCACTCCTAGGGGCCCGCCCGGGGCAGCAGCGGGGGGGTAGGGGGGCACCAGTGGTGACAGGAGGCAGCACAGGCGAAGACGAATACTGAACCTTAGCAACATGCCTTGGCATCCACGATCAACTCCAGGTCACTTGCCAGGCTTCCGAAGCCCCAGCACTGGCCCAGCCACAGCCACGGCCCTGCTGTAGAGCAGGCACCGCACAGCCTCCCTCTGCTCTCTAAGCGCCTCTAAGTGCCTGTGAGCCCAGCTCTCTGTGCTGTGTGGCTCACCTCTCACACTAGACCACCCCCTCCACAGAGCCTCCCAGGACACTGCCAGTCTTTGCCATGCCACCCTGCTTATGTCTTTCATGGAACACATACAGTTCATGGTTATTCTATAACTGTCTTCTGTTTCCTGCCTCAGACATCAGAACCATAAGGCAAGGAACCAATCCATTCCTTCCGTGTCCTTGGGCCTGGTACATAGTAGGTGCTCAGTTTGCAGAGACAAAGGATGGAGAAAAGGTGAGAGGGAAGCAAGCTGTGGGAGAAAGCATCAAGGGGAAGAGAGAGGCAGCCATGCAGAGGGGGCAGGAGGAGGAGGACCAACGGGGGCAAAGCCATGCCTGCAGCAGTAACTGAAGACCCCTTGAGGGATCCCTGAGTGAGAGCGCTTCCTCCTGCGCCAACAGCTGGAGATGCTGCATGGCCTTGGAAGTGTCAGAGAAAAAAGCAGCCCGAGACTACTGGGGTTGTGTGCTGCCCAGCCCTCTCCTTGCCAAGGCACTGCCAACTGAGCACAGTGGAGCCTGGCTACCCTTGCCTGTCAGCTCTCCCTAGTCACCATGGCTCCAGGACAGTCCTGTATGTCTCTGCCTCTGCCCTTTCCTGCAACAGCCTTGACACAGAAGCAGCTCAAAGGACAAAAGAGTGTTGACCCAGCTGGGCCTGGCACATGGCGGGAGGCCAATCAGGTGTACTCACCTCGCGGGTGACCTTGCCATTGTTGTCAAAGTCATACAGGGTGAAGGTCCACTCCTGCCGGCTGTCCTCCTCCACGGACACATCACACTGTAGCTCCTGGACACACACACAGAGGCGGGGCTGGTCACCCGTCAGCTGAAAAACTGACCAAGGGCCAGGCCAGGGTGCAGCCTCTGCCCTCCCAGATCTGGAGGGGCCCAAGGACCGAGATATGAGCAGCCAGGGAGAGAGGCCCTCAGCCCCATAGTCTCTGGGTCATCAGAGACAGAGGAGTCACAGGGGTTGCAGAGGAGGCTCTGGGGCCCAGGAAGTTGCACCTGGACCAAAGACCAGAAGCTGCTGGAGGGCCACAGGGCACAGCAACCCAGGAAGCCAGGACAGGTGAACCACCAAACTGAAGGCAGTGGGAGGGGTGCAAAGAGCTGTGAGACCCTGAGCAGGTTTCTTGGTGCCTCTGTTTCCCCTTATACGAATTATGAGAGAATGACAGTCTCTAGCTCAGTACAGTTGGAGGAAGATGAAATGTCCTGCAGGCAGTACCCCTGCTGCCATGGAAGGCACATTCCAATCTCCTGCCTCAAGCACCCTGCTTCTCTGCCAAGGGCAGCTCCCAAGAGCCAGGGACCCAAAACCGAGGCAACCAGGACAAGGGAAGCACTGGAGTCAGGGACCAAATGCCACATCTCCTCCATGTGACAAAGCTGAACACCTTCTATAGGCTTCTCAGAGGAGTCTCCTGCAGGGTCTCAGTGACCCACATGTCTACCCACCCTTTACTGGCATCCCTCCCCTCCTGCCCCGGCACCTGTTCCCTGGGACCCTCTCAAGGATCTGTGCATCTTGCCCTTGTTTAAGGGGTCATGTTGGGGGAGCCAGAGACAAGAAGCATGGTCTGTATATGCCGAGAGCCAAGCACGCCATCTGGGGCACAGAAGAGCCCACTAATCCAACAGTCATTTCACTGTCATTATTCATAGCAACCAGTGGTGTCTAATCCAGTATGCTACACTGGAAATGGGTGCTCTGTCCCCCAAGCACATACTCAGTGGCTGGCTGAGCACCTCACGAAGACTTCAAGGAGACAGGATGGAGGAAAGAGGTTCAAGAGCACACAATGCTGTGCACAGGATCGCATGTTCCCAGGCCAATCTGTTCCCTGACTTGCCTTACCCCTCTTCCTCTGCCACAGAGAAGAAGGTGCCCTGGCTCACCCAGCACATGGGCAGCTCAGCCTGCAGAGGGCAGGACAAGTCCCCAAGGGGTGGCAGGAGTGTGCAGAGCGCAGTGTTCCAGCCACAAGCTTCTGTAGCTTTGAGCTGGTTCCCACCAGCAGCTCTCAGATGACCCATGCCGAGTTCAAAGCCAGCTTCCCTCAGTTGTGACAGGCCCCTCTGATACCTGCCAAGTGCCTGCTCTGCTCCCTGAGGAGATGTTTCATGTGGCACTCTGCGCGCGCGCACACACACACACACATACACACACACACCCCTGTACACATCTACACACACCTTACATGTACCCTTACATGCACACAACCCTACACCCATGTCCACAATGCACCCCCAGACACACTCCTACACATGGGCCCCATACACATACCTTCACACATGCACTCCTACACACACCTGTGCCTACATGCATGCCCACAAGCACACCCACATGGGCCCCTACACACTACACAGAATGTTCAACTGTTTCTAAGATGTTTGAATTTGAAGTTCAGAAACCTCTGTCAGTGTGGGTCTCCTCAGCTCCCACCATACCCACTTGCTTTCTCCAGCACCCGCCCACCTCCCTGTCCCCCTGCAGGCCTGGCATAGGCCAGGACTTAGCCAGTCATCCACCAACAGGCACCATGGGACTTCCAGGGCCAGCTGCCTGGGCCCAGCCTTCCTTCTGCTGTGGGAACCTGGGTAACTCAGCACAGGGCTGGGCTCCACAGAACGAGGGAATCCCTGGGCCTCCACTAGAATCTGGCTCTTCTGCCTCAGCTCCTGTAGGCAAGGCCCTCACTGAGGCCTTGCCCTCTTTCCCACACCCCCAACCCCTGCAGGCTGTGACTCCCAGGTCACATGCTGCCAAGACTGACTACCGGCTACTGCGAGCCAGCTCTACCCTTTGCCCCTGCTGCTCCCTTGCCTGAACACCCTCCTGTCCTAAAGGCTTCCAGTGCCCCCCAACTCCTGCTGCTGCACTCTGCCCCCATGTTGCCTACCCGGTGCTTGCCCGCAGTGGTGCCCTCCCTGACACTCAGAACTACCACAGCGTCCATCACCCTGGACCCTGCCCCTCTCCTGACCTGTTGACCGCATCTGTGCTTGTAGGCCCCCACCTTGCCATGAGCTCGTGTGGGTGCTCGTCCTGGATCATTCCTCTGTCCCCCTCTCCACCTGCTCTATGAGGCAGGACCTGTGTCGGTTTTCCACAGTGCCATGGACACTGGCCTTCCTGACCATACAGCAACCTCTGCAGCCCTCTACCTGAGCAGGTGGCGACTGGCAGGTGAGCGAGGCAGATGGTGGGGGCCTCGCCCTGAAGTCACAGCTGCTGTGCTGACTCCAGAGCTGTGACCTATGCCTCCAGAAGGAAATCAGGGAGGGTGGAGAGCTGTCAGCAGGCTCCCTACAGGCCACGGGGTCTGGCTCTCAGCACCTGACTGTGTTGGTACACAGAAGCAGCTTCATGTTGGCCAAGGACAGACTGGCCAGACTGTAAGCTCTGGGAGGCCATGTTCCCTGTGTTGACCACATGGGGAAACTGAGGCATGGCTGGTCATGGACCTATCCAGTACTTCCTGCCTTCTGGTCACATACCCCAACTGAGAGGACCTATGATAGTCCCAGATAGTCTCTGGAGGCCAGAGGAAATGGAGGCCAGAGAGGTGACAGCCACAGCAGGCCTGGAATCCTGCTTCTCTTTGTCTACTCATAACCTCCTCGGGGTCCAAACTCGCTGCTCAGCCAGATGCTCGGGAGCAGCCAGTGCTGAGCTGAGCAGGGCAGGCAGTGCCGGTCCTCACAGCCTGTGCTGGACCTCCATGGCCCCAGAAGCTGCAGGAGGAGCCTCTATTCACACAGAAGAGGCCCCACCAGTCTGGGGAGCTCCTGCCAGGCTTCAACTTCCCTCCTGGCCAACTACCACAGACAAAAGAGACCCCACCTTGCCTCCTGAGGGACCAGCACCAGGAAAGGAAACTTACTTCAAATTTCAGCTGCTTCTTGGAGGCTGGACAAGAGTCACTGGCTTTCTCCATCCTCTTCTCATCTCCACTGCCCAGGCCGTCAGTCTTCTCGGGTGGCAGGGCCACTGCAGGGGTGGGAAGTGTTAGTGAGGATGCGTGTTGAGGTGGGTCCAGAGGAGGCACCGTTGTGACCTTGTCCCCAGGCTTGATGTGCGAACATCCTCACCACTCCCACCCTGTCCACTGGTTGGCACCATATTCCCTTTCTCTCTGCCCCTGCAATGGCCCAGGCCTGCCCCAAGGGGACCCTGTGTTATGGTTTGACCTGAAATGTCTTCCAAAGTGCAGGTGTTGAAGGCTTGGGCATCAGGGCAGCTGTGTGTGGCAGTGGGGCCTTGACAGGCGACCGCATCATGTGGGCCCTAATCTCAATGACGTGGAGGTGAGGCCTAGTTAAGGCACATGTGCCTTTGAAGGCAGCACTTCGTCACCTGCCTCTTTTCTCTGGCCTCTGCCTCCTGTCTGCTGTGGAGTGAGCGCCTCCACTTCACCACAAGTTCCCTGTCATGATGCTCCAGCTCCACACAGGGCCTGAACTAGCGAGCCAAGTGACCATGGGCCAAGGCCTCTGAGTCCAGGAGCCCAAATAAGCCATTTCTCCTTTGGGTTGATTACCTCAGGTATTTGGTCCTGGCAATGCAATGATATGTCTACACATATCTCTCAGGTTACCCCAGGCGACCCCACTCTCTGTTCCAGCCCTGCAGCCTAAATAACCAGCCTGTGACTCCAGCATTCTGCAGAGCCACCCCAGTGCTCAGGAAGATCAAGCTGGAGAGCAGGCAGATGAGGGCACTGGAAGCTACCAGATCCTGGACCGGGGGTGGGGGGGCATTTTCTGCACAGCCTCACTGCCTTCCATGCTGACATTCTGACCTCTTCAGAGATGGCCCTGCAGGAGCCCAGTGTACAGCACATCAGTGAGTGGACATGAGAAGAGACAGAAACAGCTCCAGCAGGCCGATGTGCACACACACACGCAGTGTCTGGGGGTCGTGCCATCTTGGGCCTCTGCCTACCTGCTGTCCTCCCTCTGCAAAAGGTCATGGTCAGTTTTGCATCCTTCCAGGAACAGAGGGAGGCGAGAAGCCCATGACCTACTGGCACCATTTTCACATGAGATTTCACAATGGCACCATTTCTAAGAGGTTTTAGGAAGGCAGCTCTTTGTAACCCCATTGCTTTAGACCAGAACGATGAACATTTTAAAGACAGAACACCCAGACTATGACCCCAAACCCACTGATTTATTGCAAGGTGCCAACTCTGCAATAAACCTGAATACTGAGGTTTTAGTTTAAAAACAAAACAAAACTATTATCCAGTGCTCAGCTGCAAGGGAGACTTGGCTCACGTGCTGACAGGTGGGCCTTGACCTTGCTGGGGACTACTCAGAACATGTGCACAGCACCACTCAGCAGAGTCCCTCTGCTGCCCCACAGCAGTGATTTTTGTCATCCTACTTCCCAGACAGACAAGCTGAGCCAATTCCTGCTCCAGGGTCCTTCCCCACCATTCTGACCTGGGGATGGTTGGGTGCTGGGAGGGTCAGACAAGGAGTCATGCAGGGAGCTGAGATGTTCCTGCAGACTCATGTCAGGCCAGGAGGCTGGGTGTGGGCTTTGCACTCCTCGGCCCCTATGCTCACATGCCCAGCTGTACAGACCACCAGCCACGGAAGGCACAGCAGGGGCGCTGTGGGTCAGGCTGCAGTGCTCCTGCATGCCCTTTCTGGTAGGTTGGGGTATCTCCCTAATGCAGGGATGTGCAGCACTCCCCACGGCGCCCTGCAAGTCCTGGTTTCCCTGTGTACCTACCGTGCCGCCCCAACACTAACCAAGCACTCAGTGTCCTCACCACAACCCCATGAGGTACAGACAGGCTTTGCCAGCAAATGACAGGGATGGGCTCTAAACCTGAGCAGCATGAATCATGCTCCCCATCTCTCCACTAATAGCCCTCCAAGCCCTTCCAGGTCTGATTCAGGAGACCCACGTTTCTGTCCATTGGCCTCTCTCCATGAAACCAGCCTCTGCTGGAGTTCAGCACTGCGCCCCTGAGCAGGTCCTGAACCTGCTCTAGATGCCCCAGTTTAATTTCCCAAAGTATAAAGAGGATGCTGAGTCTCTTTCCAGGGGACTCTTGTGTGGACTCAATGAGCTATGACCACAATGGGCTAGGACCCAAGGCCAGTGTACAGGGCTTGGCCACAAGCAGAAACAGTCAGGGGAATGACAGCCTTAACCTGGGACTCTTTCAGGGTTAACACACTTGGCTTCTCAAAACAGAGGCTTTTGCAATCAAATGGACACAAAGCACTGTATCAAATACAGCCAGCCAGACAGGGAGCAGAGAAAGGAGGAGGGGCTCAACATAAGGGGGCTCCAGCTTCCCAGCACGAACAGGGTACGGACCGAGGCTGCCGCTCTATCCAGGGGTCCCTCCCCAGACAACCAGGTTCTCTGTCCCCACCACAGCCAGCAGCACACAGGTACCTCTGTTCCTCAACACCCACAGAGCAAAGTGACACTCCTTAAAGTAGTCAGGAGCACCTACCAGGCCTTAGGCCACAGGTACTGACCAGGGCCTATCCTGGTAGCTGGCATAGAGTGATACAGTAAACTACAAACCTGAAAGACTGGGACTCCTCAGAAACCTTGCTGGAAGTGCTGGAGGGCAGGGACCTGGCATCCTACCACAGGGATGGTTACTGCGGCAGCTTACTCATGCTATCAGCTCTGATAGCATCCATAACACAAAGGTGTTCCCCAGCTCCACTCCTGCAAAGCTAGACATCTCCAGAGGGATTCCAAGTCCTGGGGTTGGGGTTCAGGTGCATAACTCACCAGGAACGTGAGGGCAGTCAAGAACAGAGCCTGGGCCACTCTGGCTGCTCTACTCTAAATCTACCTGGTACCTTCCTGGGCCACAGCTTGCCACCATCCTGAGTACAGATGGGACAACAGGTACAGACACTTCCACAGGTCACAAGTCAAGGGATGATATTCCTGTCACTCCAAAGAGTCAGGGAACTGGAACTCTCCATTCCCAGTGTGAAGCAAAGCCCTCAGTTCTAGCGGCTGCAGGCATCTCCTTCAGGTACCACTGGGCTGGCGGGAGTGTCGTCTCTGAGCAGGCTCAGCTGGAGTTCCTGTCTTCTGTCTCAGCCCCTGACCTCAGCATAGTGATACTCCTGGCCCTCAGCCACCTCATGCATAGGATGAGGCACAATGGTGTCTCCCTCACACAGTTGCTGGGAGGGGACACAAGAAACTGCTCACTTAGCAGTGGCCGGCACACAGTCAGTGCTGCTTAAATGCTGGCTTCGCCACGCAGAGCCACAGTGCCAGCTGATAACCCAGATCCAAACGATTGCTAGTACCTCAGGGAAACCCCACCGAGAAACTGTGAAGATAACGTGGCCTGAAACAGCCTCTATTCACTCCTCTCAGATGAACTAAAAGAAGAAAAAGAAAAAGAAGAAAGAAAAACAAAGCCTAGTTCCATCTTCAAAGCTGCTGCCTTCCCCTGTGAGGTCCTGGCTAGAGATACAAGCCGGCCAGGCTTATCGAAGCCAAACTTCAAGTTCAAAGAGAAGTTATCAGAAAAGCACCTTCAGGTTCAATGTTGCCTTTCATGTTCCACTTGATGAAACCCACAGACAAGGAACCTCTGTCCCTGTTCTCTCCTTCACAGGAGCCTCCCACCCCAGGCACTGGGCAGCCTGTCCTTTCCTGCATCCTCCTTGCTCCTTGCCCAGAGAGTCGCACCCCCACCCCACCCTTTGTATGCCTTCTCCAAAGATCAGCTCGGGCTGAATCATCCTCTCTTCCTCAGTGGGACTTTGTCACTTCCCACTCACAAGGCAGTGTGGCAGTGAACTGCCCAGTAAGGGCTGGGTACAGGTGAGTGGCAGAACTGGAATCCATCCTCTTGGTCCACAAGGGATGTGATCCACCACCCCTTTCGCCTCTTGTTGTCTCTGCGTGGATGGCCAGAAAAATCCATCAGAGTCACACAGATTGTGCTTCTAGAGGCAGGGGCTAGGATCCAGCCCTGTGTGTGATCCTCAGATGGACCCTCTGAAACCAAGGCCCACATCTGTGTATCCTGTACCCTTGCAGCACCTCATGGGTGGGCAGGATGGGGTGGAAAGGGCACTCCGTAAGCCACTCAGGCCCCACCAACTGCAGCACAGAAGAGGGATGTTTCCTTGAGACAGACTGGCAACTGAGTCTGCATTTTTTTCTCCACCTCTGGTCCTGTTCAACCTAGCCACTTCCCCCTAGGAGATGACCTTTCATGGGACACAATTTCATGGCGTCTCCAAGCACTCTGGAACATCAAGTCACTACTTCAGGAGGCAGTGCTAATTGGAGAGAAAGGGAAGAGACGGAGGAAGGAGGAAATCAATGCCTTTCACTTGCTTACGGAGCACCTGCAGATGATGTGGAGCAGGAGTTTGGAACCTATACCCTTCAAGCCAAACCCAGTCCACAGGCTACCTGTCAGTAAAGGCTTCCTGGGACACAGCCATGCTCATGCCCTCTGTCTCTGGCTTTTGCTCTGCATCAACAGAAGTGAATAGTCACAACAGAGACCCACCAACACCCAAGGCCTGTAGGAAACACTACCTGGCCCTCTATAGGGAAATCTGCATGAGGGCAGGAGTCTGATGAATAAGGTGTAGACAGGCTTTCCCCGCTGCTTGCTTCCTTAACTGGAAACCCTTGGGCGATACATAAACTGCCCATCATACACAGTGGACAGAGACCAAAGAAAATATCAACACTGCTTTCTTAAAATCAATCTTCAAGTGAGTCTGGGGGCGGTGGAGCTTCTCTCTGGAAGTTTCTCTCTGCCCTTCCTCACACCAGGAACACGGCCACAAGAAGTCCGCTCTGTGTTTACCCAGTGACGCGCCTCTCCCACATTAGCTCCCAACCTGGCTGCTCTCCACCCCCAGCAACTGCCAGATTAAATGCATTGCTTGACCATCTTCACCCGGTTCCCTTTGATGTTCCCTTCTCAGGCTTCAAAATACCTTTTGGAGGGAGATCAGACA